AACTAAGATCCATCTGATGTTAGCAATGATATCCCGAGCTCCTCGTCTTCATGAGTTTCTGGCAGTTCCCTCCATCCAGGGACAAAAAGTTGCGATACCAAGGAGCCACAGCAGCAGAACCAAAAGCAAGAGCATGAGACAGAGCAGTGGGCTTCCCCGAGGAGCAAGTAAAGCTGAGTGACTTTGGGCAGGAGACTTGTTTGTGGAGTGGGGTGCCTCTAGGCACTTCATTGAGGGAGTTAGGTTTGCTGACCCATGGAGCTAGAGTAAGAGTTGAGGCTTATGGCAGCCCTTTGTGCATTTATCAGCAGTGCTAAAAGAACTTTGTAACAATGCATGAGCAAACTCTAGTGCAAACTGTTTGCACTCAGTTGTTCATCGAAAGATTAATGGTTTGAACCCACCCAGTGGCACTGTGGAAGAAAAGACCCGGTGATGAGCTTCCATGAAGATTACCCACCGTCAAGAAAACTCTATGGAGCTGCTCTGCTCTGTCCCACATGGGCTGCCATGAATCAAACTGACACAAGCAACAACATTCAGTAAATAACAGTACCAGAGATACTCAGATATGGGGAAAAGCACAGAGGTGGACTGCAAATGACGAGGGCCGGGAAACACTGCAGAACCAGGTCACAGTTGAGCATTCTGCCTCTGGAATCCGACACAGTGGGGTTCAAATCCTGGCTGCAATTCACTGAGGTGACCAGGGGAGAGTGGCAGCTAGCCATTCAAGAGGCTGGCTCCGAGGACAGCCACATGCACACACAACAGCCACAAAGTGTTCCCTCTCCTCTGTCTCCCAAGTCAGTGGTTCCTTCCTTTTCCCCTTGACTTTCCTGCAGCTGACAGTCACCCTTGGGTTAGGCTCTAGCGGGAGGACGGTCAGCTGTCGGAGGTCAGAGATGTCTACATTGTTTCCATAAGGCCTAGTCGAAAGGTTCTGGAGTCTTCTCTCGGAACCTTATTTGTGAACTGGAGACCTTGGTCAGAAGACTTAGCACGTCTGAGCTTCAGTTTTCCATATATCACAGATTCATTTGTTGTAAGGAGTAAAGGTTGTTGTTGTTAAGTGTCACTGAGTCGGTTCCAACCCATACTGACCCTGTGTAAGGTTTCCTAGGAGTAGCTGGTGAACTTGAACCACTGACCTTGCTGTTCAAACTGACTTTGCAGTCCAGCGCATTAACCCTAGCATCACTGAAGGACTCCCAGGAGTAAAGGTAGAACTTGCAAATGTTGTAGCTGCCACCGAGTGGGCCCCCAACTCCTGTTGATCCCATGCACAATGGCATCAGACTGTCGTGAGCCATTGGGCTTTTCCTGGCTGAATTCGGGAAGTAGATCACCAGAGGTTTCTTCCTTCCTCATCGGCCCGATTCTGGAAACTTTGCTGAAAATTGTTCAGCATCATAGCAACAAGCAAGCCTCCACGGGCAGAGGGATAGAGGCTGCACATGAGGTACACGGGCTGGGTATCGAACCCGGGTCTTCCACATGGAAGGCAAGAATTCTTCACTAAGCCACCACTGCTTCTTCACAGCAAATACAACACAAGGGGGCTTCAAAAAGCTCATGGAAAAAACAATGGTATTAAAAGATAATGACATTTTCCCACAAACATTTCGAAGCACCCTCGTGGTACAGCTCAATAAAATGATAGGAATCATTTTCTTTTAAAAAGCACAAGTGGAAAGGTGGGCCCTCAACAGGGAGACCGGATGTTTTGCAGTGATGGAAATGCATTGAGGTTTACTGGGAAGCATACATTTGTCAAACCTCATCAAACTGTATGTAAATTGTTGTTAGTGCCTCTGAAATCAGTTTGACTCCTGGAAATCCCATGCATGCAAAGTAGAACTGTGCTTCAGGGGGTCTTCAAGGCTGTGACCTTTGGCGAGATCACCAGACTGTGTTCTGAGGTGCCTCTGAGTGGGTTCAACTCCCCAACCTTTCAACTAGGAGTTGACATCTTAATAGTTTATGCCACCTGGGATTCCTTGAATATAAGTTAATCCTCAATACAGCTGAATAAAGGAAAACTAACCCCACCAATATGGATGAAGCAGAAAGAGACTGCCAAGTGACATCAAGGCCGCTAAGTGAGAGAGGGCAGGGCCTTACCAGTTTCCTGGGTAAATAACTCCCTGCCTTTGCTCACCCATGGGTCCCCCTGCAGTCCTTCACTTGGAACAACGTACCCACCTTGAAACCCTTATCATTCCACCCCAGGCCTACTCCTCCCCACCCAACTGCTCCCCAGGCCAGCTGCCAACTCTAATCTCCATCTCCTTCAGCCCCCATCACCCTGTAATTAGGACCAGGAGGTGTGGGCAGGGTGCCATCATTCAGTGCCACCTGCTGCTTCCTTACTGGTAAGGTGGAGTGGGTGCTGTCCAGAACAGAGATCCAACCCCACTGGCACCCTCAGGGCATTGGTTTTCTCCCACAGGTAAACTAGGACAAAGAACCAGCAGAAGCCGGCTGACTTTCCCCACAGCATGAAGGTTGGGGTGGGGGGTAAGGGAAGACCAATATCCACGTCCCTCTAGCTTCTCAGGCTGACCTTGTCAGCACAACCCTCCCTTTCCCCAAACTGAAAGACACCGATCAGAACAACCGAGTCTCAGAAACCAGAGGGAGTGACTCCCTGCCCCTGATGCACCTGTTTACTCCCCCAAAGAATGTTGAATTTCATACTCCCTGGTTCTGGGGCAAGGTTTGCTGGTGGCACTGTGGGTTAGGCATTGGACTGCTAACCAAAAAGTTGGTGTTTCAAACCCACCAGCCACTCCAACAGAGAAAGATGAGGCTGTTTGCTCCTTTAAAGGTTTACAGTCTTTGAAATCCTGTATAGGGTCTCGATGAGTCAAAATCGACAGTATGACCATGGATTTGCTTTAGGGGTTCTGGGCCACGGAACCTCAATGGACAGTAGTTACAGTGTCTGACTACAAATCAGAAGGTCAGTGGTTCAAAGTCACCAGCTGCTCCTCAGACAAAAGGCATGGCAGTGGGCTTCTGTAAAGACTCCGGCCTTGGACACCCACCCTGTGGGATACTTCTGCTCTGTCCTAGAGTGGAAACTATGATTGACCAGTCAACTTGACAGCAGTAAGTTCTGGGTCACTCACACGAAGCCACAGTGACTAACAGGTAACTAGGGAGACCCTCCAGAAATGCCAGGAGTCCCTGAGTGGTGCAAATAGTTAAGCATTCGACTACTAGCCAAAAGGTTCAAGCACACCCAGAGAGAGGCACCTCAGAAGACAGATCTGGTGATATACTTCCAAAAAGTCACAGCCACAAAAACTCCGCACATAGCATGCGGTCATCATGAGTCGAATCAATTCGACAGCATTACTAACTACAAATATCAAAAAAACTAAAGAAAATGAGGAATCCTAGTGTGGCACTGGAGGAAAAGCATTGGACCGCAAGGTCGATTTGGACTGCAAGGTGGTGGTTCAAACCCACCAGCTGTTCCTCAGAAAACCGATACAGGGTTGCTGTGAATCGGAACTGGCTCAACAGCACTCAACAACAACAAAGAAGATGAGACTATTAACTTTGTGCATATAGGTCTTCTGAAGACCTGGGGGAATGAACGGAGGGGGGGGGGTGCGTAATAGGTCCTGAAAAAGAGTGTAGGACCTCTAGATTCAAACTCCATTTTCTAAGGTCTTCCTTTGTCTTAGCCTGAAAGACCTCTGAGCTGACTCACTCAATCATCCCCTGTGTCAGAGGAGAACTAGGCTCCACAGGGTTTCCACTGGTTGCTTTTTCCAGTTAGATTGTCAGTCCTTTCTTCTGTCCAAGAGCAAACCAGGGTTTTGGCGAATATTGAAGCAAAGAGTTCTATTGAACTCTTTCTTTCTTCTCCATGAATGCCTATCCTGGGTGATTTTCATCTCGTGGCTTATCTGTTTTTTTAAGGGCACTATTTTACTACTCCATGAGGATTCACTAAAGCTCTCCAGGAAAAGGTAATTTTTCTTGGAGTTTAAGTTCAGAAAGCCCAGCAATTTATAAGAACAAGCCTGCTTTCACAGACATTAGACAGTTTTACACAAGATCCCTTAAGAACTGTTTGGGTAATCAAAAAGTTAGGGTCAGTTAACATCTTGTTACATATGGAGACCCAGGGAACCAGTTAGTAACCATCCAAAGAACAGTGTGCAGTCTGGCTTACATCTTTGGTAAAAGTCTTTCCTTATGCCAAACACCTAGATTTGGGGCACTGCTTCACACTTCCTAAAGAGGTATGTAAGGTAAGTACTGGACAGCTAACTGTAAGGTCAGAGGTTCAAACCCACCAGCAGCTCCAGGTAGAAAGATGAGGCTTTCTTCTACTGTAAAAACTGCAGTCTTGGAAACCTTACATAGGGTGACTACGAGTCAGAATCGGCTGGTTGTCTGTCACACTTCCAAGGCATGGTGCTGTAGGATCAGTACTAGACTGTGAACCACAAGGTCAGCAGTTCAAATCCACCAGGTGCTCGTCAGAAACCCTAAACAGGGTGGCTATGAATCGGAACCAAATGGCGCTTAACAACAACAAGGCATCTCAGGGTGAACTGGGACCTCCATTCCTTATTGGAACTGATTAACCCTTTCTGTCATTCAGGTTGTGCTATTCAACGTTACAACAGCCCTGTCAAGAAACACCCAGCAATACTGCGCAGCCCTTCCTTCCTCAGAGACGCCACTCTGAGCTCTATGAGGGGTTCCCAGAGGCTTAGGATTCGGCCACTTAGTACCTGGATCAGTATGTGCTTGGCTTCCAGTAACTACTGGATTGGATAACCAAAGCAGACTAGGCAGAATGCCACTCATTCTCCAGGTGATGTTTGAAGAGCTCCCGGCAAAAGGCCATGCCATTCCCAGCCCCAGGGCTCTGACGTACGCAGCCTTCCTTTCTGTCCCCTTAGCACCTGTCCGTTCAGGCCTTCCACCTTCCAGCGCCTTCCCTAGCCCTCCCGGCCCCTTCTGGGGCATACCTGAACACAGGCTGGAATAGAAGCCCTCGTTCTTGAGCATGATGAGCAGAGAGCCCCAGCCCAGGAGCACGGCAGAGAAGAAGAGGTTCTCCAGCACTGCGGTGCAAGCCATCCACCAGCGCCTCCGGTACGCCTGCTGCAGCGTGGGGGCCATGCTGGCCGATAGCCTGCACAGGAACAGAGCGCTCAGCGAAGGACCCCCCAGCGGCCCCTGAGAGAGGCCCTGCATCATGGTGGCACCTAGGGCCCCTTGGGCCAGCCCTTCTTCAGGGAGGAACCATAGAGCCCTGGGATTTCCAGCGTGTGCTGCCCAGCGGACTCCGGGCGCACTGGCAGTGCCAGGGGTACACGCGGCGCTGGGCTCCCGCCGGGCCACTATCGAAAACAAGGAAGGTCCTGTATGCGCGCAGCAGCTTCCTGGCACGCTGCCGACCTCTCCCACCCAGTCCAGGGCGCGCGGGGCCAGGCTCCAGGGGCCAGACCTGCACTTTCCCAAGTCCCCAAAGGTCAGCAGGGGAAAGAGCGCACGCTGAGGCCATGCCTGGCCCGTGTCCCACCTCCCGCGCCCGGAAAAGACCCCCGAAGCAGGCAGGAGGAGGAAGGGGAAGGCTAAGGCTAACCTGAGAGCGCCCCTCCTTCCTGTTGCCCCTCTAAGACCACTCCTCCACTCTGGGGCCAGGCGAGAGCAAGCCCTCCCCTTCCCCAGCAGGCGACTCCTGTCCCTATAGTCTCTCGGGCCAAACCAGCAGCTGCCACGTGGAAGGAGACTCAGGGCTGGCCCTCCGGCAGCCTGGCCGCCCCCGGCGCCGCTCACTCACTCGGTAGGACGCGGGGCAGTGCGGGGTGCGTCTCAGTCCTGCATCCCCTAAGGCCCGGGGAAGGGGTGCGGGCAGGGAGTCCGGCGGCCACAGACTTTATAAGGGCAGCGGCGGCCGATGGGCTGGATGGCGGATTGGCGGGCAGCAGTGTTTACCAGAGGGCGGGAAGGAGCCCGAGCTCCCCCCGCCGCGGCCGCCACCGCGATTGGGGACGGGACGCGGGCGGCGCGGGGCCGGGGGCGGGGAGGGGACCGTGCGGGTGGGTGAGGACCGGCCGGGGGCAGAAACTGAGCAAGCGAGAAGAAAGGGACAGCGAAGGGCAGGCGTGCGAGGCCAGGGAAAGCCCGAGCCCCTTCCCTCGGGTAGGGGGGGGACGCTCAGTTCTCACATCTGTGAAATGGGGTTTTGGCTCCTGGCGCTCCCAGAGGCCCCTTTCCAACTCAAACTGGAGAAGAGGAAGTGAAGCAAGAGGGGGCGCGAGAAGAGAGTCGGAGGGGCCTGGGGTTCTGAGAGTCAGAGACGCAGCCACCCGGGCGGCGCGCTTGGAGAGAGGCGAACAATACGCCGCGGAGCAAGGGCTCAGGTAACGGGATTTCCTAGAGAAGCCTAGGACTGCCGAAAGGTTCAGTGGACACGTAGCCCGGGGTCCCTATGCCCACCCTCTTCTCACCTCGGAGCGGGGCGATGCAACTACCGCAACCCAGAGAAGCGCAGCGCCGGATCCGTGAGTCCACACACCAGAAGTCCTGCGCCCCGGCCCTAGGCGGCACTTTAGGGCACCGGCACGGGAGCTGGTGACTTCTCTACACTTCAGTCCTACAGCCGGCTGTCAAGGAGCTGGGAATGCACCGGGCACCAATGATCCGACAAGTGGAGCATGCACCCAGAGGATATACGGCTTTAGTAAATGTATTTACACCGGTCCAGGGCTGCCCCACCACCACCACCAGAGATGGGGGCGGTAGCTCTAGTCCTTCCCCTCCCACAGGGTCGAGTTTCACATCCACGTGACTTGCTTGCTTGTCCCCAGATATTCCCCCCCAGGACACACCCCAGCGCTTACAGTTCCCACCTCTCCACTACCACCCTCCAACTTCCCCTTTGCCGGACTAGCTAGCGCCCTCTAACTAGCCTTGGTCAAAACAAAGAAGGACTTGGCTGGAGTCGACATGCTGAGATGCTGGACAAACTTGGGTGGGGTTCTGAGCCTTACGGTTGGGTGTTATGTTTTCCAAGAACTTGAATAACTCGAGTTTCTTTGGAGTTAATCCAATGGACCGAATCTGACTAGCTGGATTACCTTGGGCAAGTTACTAACTAACCTCTTAGGTCTGCTTCCTTTTCTAGAATTCAGGTCACAATAGTACCTAACTCAAAGTATTATAGGGAGGAATTAGAGGTTATGACGCAGATAAAATGCTGAGCACAATTTCTTCTCTACCTTCTTGTTCTTTGTGAAAGTAATATATTCGTATGTGTGACTTTTTCTTTGTTGTTGTGAAGTGCCGTCGAGTTGATTCCGACCCATAGTGACCCTGTATAGGGTTTCCAAGGAGCAGCTGGTGAGCTTGAACCGCCGACCTTGCAGTTCAAACAACTTTGGAGTCTGACGCATTAGCCCACAGCGCCACACCAGGACTTTTTCTTAGCTGGGCCTCATTTCTTTGAAGAATATTATTTTGAAATAGTAAATAGCATTGGCGTTGCTTTGCTCAACAGACACATACTTTTCTATCCTGTTTGGTCTAGTATTTTATCTAATACATGTTAAATGTTGGGCTCATACAAGGGCAAGTCAAAAAGTACTGCTGCAAAATCATAGCAATCTTAAAAGAAACTCATGGAAACCTTTATTAGACACAAATATCTAAGTGTAAAACTACTGTTTCTTGAAATAATCTCCGTCTAGGGCTATATTATACACTTCTAAAGGTGATGTTTCTGTCTCTCTAACCCTTCCCTGAAGAATACTGTCCTGTTCCAAGTCAGAACAGCAATTGGCATTCTCAAGAGACTCAAATCGTGTTCCTTATACGTGTTCTTTGAGTTTGGAGAGTAAAATGAAGCCCTAAGGGAAGAGATCAGGGATGTAGGGTGGATGGGGCAAGGTTTCCCAATGAAATTCACACAGGACAACCCTTGCTACTCTCAAAGAATGAGTAGGTGCATTGTAGTGATAAAAAAAAATCCTCCGTGCAGCTTTCCTGACCTTTTTCTCACCAGCGCAGTTTTAAATTTTCTTAAAACTTATTCCTAATAATCCTCTAATCATCCGCTGTCTTTCAAGAAAGTGTATCAGGATTACCTCTTAGCAATCAACTTTCTAAGCTGACTACAGAACTCTCTGCCCTTGCAGATCCTGGAAGTCATAGTTTTGGTTGGACCTTTTTTTTTCTTAAAGCGCCCTAATGAGACTTCTTGTTGTTAAGTGCCATCCAGTAGGTTCCGACTAATTTTGTTGTTGTTGTTGTTAGGTGCCATGGAGTCAGTACCGACTCATAGCAACCCTATGCACAACAAAATGAAACCCTGCCTCGTTCTGTGCCAACCTCACAATTGTTGCTACACTTGAGCTCATTACTGCTGCCACTGTGCCAATCCATCTCATTGGGGGATCTTCCTCTTTATCAAACATAAGGTCCTTCTCCAGGGACTGGTTCCTTCTGACAATATGTCTGAAGTATGAGAAGCCTGGCCATCCTGGCTTCCAAGCAGCGCTCTGGCTGTATTTCTTCCAACACAGATCTGTTTGTTCTTTTGGCAGTCCATGCTACTTTTAATATTCTCCTCCAACACCATAACTCAAATGCATCAATTCTTCTGTGACCCTGTATAGGGTTTCCGAGGAGCATCTGGTGAGCTTGAACCACCAACCTTATGGTTCTAACTGACCTTTCAGTCCAGTGCATTACCCTGTAGTGCCACACCAAGACTCCCTAATGAGACTAAGACAAGTATGTTACTGATAGAACTTGTCTGCAACTATTCACTAATTGCAGAGACATGGTTAAACATATTTTCTTAGAACTAAACCCATGCTTGTATGAACTGGGACCCTGGGAGCAATGCTTTCTGACTTGTCTTCATATTTGCGGTTATTAAGTGCTGTCGAGTCAGTTCTGACTCGTAGTTACCCTGTATAGGATTTCTAAGGCTTTCTATCTTTTCAGGAACAGAAAAAGCCTCATCTTTAGCTGGTGGGCTCAAACCACGAACCTGTGGTTTTCAGTGCAGTGCTTATCATTTGGAGCCACCGTGGTCCCACATCCTCATATGTAATAGTTGACAAACTGCAGCCTTCAGACCAACTCTGGAACACTACCTGTTTTTTCAAATAAAGTTTTATTGGGACATACAAATACTGAGTAAAGTCTTTCATGCATAGACAGCGTGATAAATGCAAGTATTGTTGTTTTGGCTAGAGAACTAAAAAGAATACATTCAGCATTTCACAAGCTGAAAGAACTGAAAAACAATTCAAGCTTTGAGTTGGATTCTATGAACAAAACATTGAATGATGCAGGAAACGTCAAAAGAAGATGGAAGGAATACACACAGAGTCACGGTACCAAGAGGAATTTGTCAAAGTTCTAACACTTCAAGAGGTACCAAGACCCAAGCGTATTGAAGGAAGTAAGGTTCCAGAAATTGACAGAATACCAGTTGAAATGTTTCAATAAACTGATGCAGCACAGAAGACTCTCACTAGTTCATGCCATGAAAAGTGACCCAACAGAATGCGGAAATTATCAAGCAGTATCATTAATATTACATGCGAGTAAAATTTTGCTGCCAGGATTTCAAGCTGATTCAGAAGAAGACATGGAATGAGGGATGTCATTGCTGACGTCAGATGGATCTTGGCTGAAAGCAGAGAATACCAAAAAGATGTTTACTTGTCTTTTATGGACTATGCAAAGGCATTTGACTATGTGGATCATAACCAACTATGGATAACATTGCGCAGAGTAGGAATTCCAGAACAGTTCATGTGCTAATAAGAAAACTGTACACAGACCAAGAGTCAATTATTCAAATAGAACAAGGGACTCCTTGATGGTTTAAAATACATTAGGAAAGATGTGCCTCAGAGTTGTATCTTTTTACGATACTTACTCGATCTATATTCTGAGCAAATAACCCACAAAGCTGGATTATATGAAGAAGAAGAACGTGGCATCAGGATTGGTGGAAGGCTCATTTACAGCCTGTGATCTGAGATGATACAACCTTGCTTACCTCAAGCAAAGAGGAGTTGGAGCACTTACCGATCAAAGGATACAGCCTTCAGTATAGATTACAATTTAATGTAAAGAAAACAGAAATCCTCACAACTAGACCAATAAGCAACATCATGATAAACAAAGAAAAGACAGAAGTTGTCAAGGATTTTGTTTTACTTGGATCCAAAATG